TCTTATATCCAAAGACTCCAAAAGATCCATTATGATACATCAAACATCTTAAAAGTTTTGATCATTTTTACTAAGAAAATTACAAAACTTTTATGAAACGACTCCTTTAAAGATTTTCTGTGATAGTGTTGTATTTAACGGAATATTATAAACTTACTATCAAAGTAGTCTAGCCAATTATAAATCTATGCATTTTTTACGTATGAGTACATCAGTGTTAGCGATATAATTACTATGTTCAAAGTAGTATGTGTTTATTCTATATTAATTAAAAAACTATCCAAGACATATCGATTTCGTTTAATAAAATATATTTAAATAGACTAATAATGAATTCGTATTAATCGTTGTAAGATATATCATTATACGTATATTTTTTTTTTATTATGTTGAAAAGTTGAAACTAGAAATAAATCATGTTTCTTATTAATATATTAAATTGACACAGTATTTTGTATTTGTCATTTTTAAAATTGAAACGAATATTATGTAATAAAATGTTTAATGCAACACATCATATTAATATTAAGCATGCACCAAAGTCGAAGGTTCGGGTTTAGGTTGATACCAATAAATGCATTATTATTTTTATCAACGTTTTTTCTGATTTCATTTTTTTTTACTTCACACTCTCTATTATAAAATATTGAGATACAGACAAAAGTCTATTGTCTTATTATCTGCCGATTGATCTTCTCTTTTGTATATTGTATTTATTTCAACTGATCAAAAGTATAGATACAATATATTCTAATATTTTCTCTTAAATACATTGGCCACAGGCATGATAATTAATAGTGTCTCAGAAGTAAAAAGTTACTTTTTCGTACCAAACAGGAACTAAAAACTGTTTAAAAGTTTGAGTTCCATACATGCCTAGCTAATTTTAATATTTTATAATTATGTTTCACTATTCAAGATTACGATCCATATATTCTGCGTTGAATGACCGCAAACATATGTACATATTTACTATATTCTAGTAAAATGATTTGTATCTATATTCTTTCACATAATATGAAAAAATTTTTTTTCTTTGAAAATATATACAAATATTTCCGTAAATTCTTGAACTGATTAGTTTTTTTTATAGAATTTATCATATCATTAATAATACTTCTACGTAATATCAATTAAAATGAAAATTTTTCCGAATACAAACATGTAAAAGTCATGATTCTACCAATCATTTGCTCCTACCTAACGACATTAGTGGCCTATTTTTTTTAACTATAATAGAATGGATGATTGGGTTTTTATTCGTTCTTCTATGAGATAAGAAAAAAACAGAAGGATGTTTTTTTCACCCATGTTATGTAACGCACTCTCTTATAGAAGAAAAGCAAGAGAACGAACAATATAAAGTATAAGATGAAGCGCATGGTAGGAAAATGAGAGAAAAACAAAGAATAATTTTGTTGTTTTTTTTTTTCTACAGCAAACAGCACAAAACATCATCACGTGTGTCATTGTACGAAGTCAAAATGTAAGTTAATCTTGTCGTCAACTAGTAAAGTATGAAGAAAAGAAATTCAATGTTTCAGTTGCAAAAAAAAAATTTTTTTTTTTTTGTTTCATTATTATGATTTTTTTGTTTGTTGTAACAGTCCGTTATGTTTTAGCATTCTCAGCACATATATGGAGAAAGAAACAAAAATATTATATAAAAGCATTTAAATAAAACCCTATAGTTGACCTCAATTTAAAAATCCAATAAACAAAAAGTTAATATTTGATTAAGATAAATTTGATTTTCTTGAATATAAATTTCTCTACAGCCTAATGTGTTCTTCTATAAATGTTCAATTACGTGCACTTACAAAATGTTCTGTAAGTGAGAGTAAATAGTTTTTAAAAAAATGTTTTATTTAATAGTATTCAATGATCTACTTAATGTAAATCTTTGTTTATCGTATATTTAGGATCTCGTGTAGTGGTAGAATTAGGAATTGCAATCGCCACTTCATTCTCATTTACCCTTTGCAAAATTTGGTTTCGATTTTTTACACCAAAATCGAGCAAAAATTATCTTCATAGTATTTCAGATGAGTTTTAAATATCAATTTCTTTTTGCATAGGATCCATGTCCTTCTTTTTACTAATATCATAGATCCACCACTGATTTCATAAGGGTAATAATACAAAATTAACTAAACAAAATAAAATATCTAAGCATCTATTTTTCTCTGACGCATGTTTTAATGTTTGTTTGTACGATATCTCCTATTTATTTTTATTTTGAGTATCTCTAATAATCAAGACTTTTTGTCGATTTGTTAGATGATGAATGAAACGTAGAAAAAAAGAACGAGACATTGTAATTAATACTATTAATATAACGACGATCGAATAATTATTGATTTTTTGTTTCAAATGCAAAGAATAGAAACTATTTACTACGGCTAAGATTGATAAAGAAAATAAAGTTCATAAGTAATATTGAAAAGATAGAAATCTTTGATATTCATATCAATTATTCCCTATGAGAATAAAACAAAGTAAATTATAAATGAATACTTTATCATATAGATAAACTATTTTTCTGCGAACAACAACAAATCATGTTGGTTAAATCGTTAAGTTAGTATTTTTCTAGAATTGTTACTAGTGAATTAAATTAACGCATAGTTTTGCAGTGATGTTTTTCATCTTACAAGAGAACCTGTTCAGGTGTCAAGTTGCTTTTTGATCGAGACGATGTTCGTTTGATGAGTAATAGAAAACTCTAGAATAGTTTGCTTTTTCAGGCTTTGATTCTTGAGATATTGAAATTTTACTGAATTTTTCAACAAAAAACTATGATTCCCCTCAGATCACATAAAAAGTCGATATTCTAGTTTTAACTTCACACTTTAGATGAATAAAATTCTCAATGAGATTAGTTCATTGGACAAGTTGTAACTTTTCTAATATCTCCTACCGTGAGATATTCAATATTTGAAATTCTCTCATGTGTAAAAACAAATTTTGTTCATATATTTACATCTTTAGAAAGAAAATACTAGGAAAGCTAAAACTTGCCCAATCAATTAATCTCATTAAGAGCTTTGTTCATAAAAAGTTTGAAGTTGAAACTTGAAAGTCGATTTTCTACGTAACCTGAAGGGGAACACAGCTTTTTTGTTGAAAAACTCAGAAAAATTTCAATATATCAAAAACGAAGACTTGAAAGACTAAACAATTCTAGACTTTTTGTATTACTCAGTTCCACTCATTAGATGAACACCATCTCCGTTGAAAAGTGATTTGACATCTGGACTGGCTCTCTTGTTAGATGATTTTTCTCACACCAATTATTGCTTACGTTATCAATACACTTTTTTCTGCTGATCCAACAATTAAAAATATTATTCAATTTTAGTTACTGAGATTTTACCATCAATTATTTTGATATAGGATTTAGAGAAACAAATATTCACTGATCATAACAGTACCATAAAGGAGATGAGTCGTTAAGCGATGAAATCGACCCTCTTCTAGAAATTAAGTTTCATATTTTCCCAATAGCCAATTCGGATGTCAAGAATTGGTTTATGATTCGAATTAGTCTCCGTTAGCACTCATTCTGACTGCGCACGGATGACTTAAAACTCGATATTAGTTATCTATCTTCTATAGGATAGTAATATGCAATTTTTATATGAAAAGTTTTTTGTTCCATTCTCAGTACTTTTAATTTGAGTTATATACAAAATGAAAGGTCATTCTTTCTGTTATCGAATGACATATAGAAATATGACAAAATATTCTTCTTTCCGTTTTTTATTTAGATGGCATTCTTCACTCTTATATATAGTATACGGATACGCATGATAAAATTTCTCTTCTATGGTGCTATAAAAGCAGTGATCTACTTTGAATTACATACTATTCGATAGCCCTTTTGAAGCTCTAAAAGCTGTTACTATTATATCGAGCTTAATTTCTAGATAAGACACTTCACTCAAACGTACAATGCTCGAGCGCGCCAAAAAATGTCACTTTTTGACTGATATTTGACCAAGTTTGACCTGAATAATTAGACTTTCTATTAAGACAAATGATATATTTGAAATGAGTATAAAACACTAAATCAATCTATATATCTCGCAAAATGATCCATCATCTTTCATTTTTTTTTCAAAAATTCAGCCTTGACCTCTCAGAAATATTTTAAAAAACAAATTAAACAAAAACCTCGTTTTTTTTTATTTATTCAGCTGCTATTTTAGGTTTTCCTAGCTTTTTAAAAATTTACAACTATCTTTTCATAGTTAGACTGACAATTCAACTGAATTTATTATTTGACGTATTTCTGAGAGGGACTGAAGTTGAATTTTCGGAAGACACAGAAAAGTAGTGGATCATTTTTTGACGTAACTAGATCGACTCAGTTTTTTTATACTCATGTCAAATATATCATTTGTTTTAATAGACAGTCTAACTATTCAGATCAAAATTGGTAAAATATCAGTCAGAAAGCGACATTTTTTGGCGTTCTCGAATATTGTACGTTTGAGTGAAGTGTCTTATTTAGAAATTAAGCTCGGTATAATAGTAACAGCTTTTAGAGCTTCAAAAGAGCTATCGAATAGTATGTAATTCAAAGTAGATCACTGCTTTTATACCAACATAGAAGGAGAATTTTATCATGGATACCATGCCATTTAAACAAAAAAGGAAAGAAGAATATTTTGTCATATTTCTATATGTCATTCGATAACAGAAAGAATGACCTTTCATTTTGTACATAACTCAAAATAAAAGTACTGAAAATGGCACAAAAAACTTTTCATATGAATATTACATACCACTATCCTATAGGGGGATAGATGACTAATATTAAGTTTAAAGTCATCCGTGTGCAATCAGAATCAGTGCGAATGGACTAATTCGAATGGTAATTAACTCTTGACATCCGAATTGACTATTAGAATAATATGAAATTTAATTTCGAGAGAGGGTCGATTTCATCACTGAATGGCTTTTTATTTATTTAGTAATTCCAAAACCATAGCAACATGTCATTCGAACGACTAATATCCATAGCAGCGTTATCAGAACAGGTCAATCGTAATAAATCTTCGAAAACAACGAAAAGTTCAGCAAAACCAAATTTTTGTAAAGTATGTGGTGACAAAGCAACTATCATCAATTATGGCGCACTTTCTTGTCAATCATGTAAAACATTCTTTCGTCGAAATGGCTTCCGTCCTGAAGTTCGCAGTTTATGATTTTTTTTTGTTTTGGTTGAAATCATGATTGATTGCATGTTGTTTCTTTTTATAGAGCGCTCGTCCTTGTTTATTGAATAGATCATGTGAAGTGACTCTAAAAACACGACGAAATTGTACTGCTTGCCGTCTTGCTAAATGTTTGTTAGTTGGTATGAGTTCAGAATTAATTCGTAAAGAAGAAGGGCAAAGTAAAAAGCCATTATCAACGTGTAAATCCACAACTACTGGTGACGTTGTCAACCAACAAGTAACAGTATGTACTTAATTCAAGTAACTGAATTTTTAGATTACTATATTTCTTATATCTGACAAAGTAATTTTAATTTAATATTATCTAAAAATACATGTTTTGTTCCTCGGTAAAAACATATAGAATTAAAAACCTGTCACAACTTACCTATTTTGTTTATTGTTCCTAGTCATTTTATATAACTTATATGTACCAGTAACTGCTATGTATTAGAAATAATATTGACTTCTAGTGAGTTATCACGAACATCGGATAAAAACTAAATTGAAAGGAATTGTTTTTATACTTGAAAGTAAACGAGAAACGAGTTTTTTCAAATCTTCTTCTAACTCTTAGATTAAATATTATATTTTCCACTGAACAAATAATCTTTTCTAACGATTTAAAAACATAAAACATTCAAAATTATTCTATCTTCGAATATGAGATAGATCATACAATGACTTTTTTTCCTAATATCTTTAATTAACATAGAAAAAAAATTATCAAATATCTAAAAGGATAAATAAATTGAAATTCTCTATGTTAATAATAACTCAATTGATAATAGTTGTTCTACATATAGTCTTCACCAAAGCGATTAACATTGAATCTACTTCACAATGATCGAGTTTTGACCAATTCTGAATGGACACTATTGTCGAATATTATACATTCTCATGATGCATTTAATATAATTCCACAAATACATCAAATCATCGAAAGATTATCTGCATTACCAAATGACATGCAATTCAAGGAAACAAATGCATTTGAATTCGTCATTCTTATGTATAAATCAATACATTCATTTATTAGTTCCTCATTGGATTTTCATATGCTTACGACAAGTGACCAGTATTCTCTTCTCAAACGCAATTTGCATACTATCGCTATCTTCTATTTCGTTATCATCTTTAATGATGCAGCCATCACTAATAAATTCAAGTATATAGATCTATTTACAACTATATATGGACCACAAATTGTATTCCATATAAAACGTATTACTAAACAATTGGATTTTGACTTAAATGTTATCAAGATTCTCTTGGTCGTCCTCGGTTTTTCATCAAATAATTTCATCATTGATGTTCATGAAAATATGCCAGATGATAGTCTTCTATGTAATACACATGGTCTTTTCAAAAGTCAAAATGTATATATAGAACTCCTATGGAAATATATGATTTATCGGTACGATTTTTCTAACAGTGTACGTCACTTTTCTCAACTTATGCAATATTTTCTTAATTTAATCAAATATTCGGCAATTGCTTATATGAACAATGTAACTTATCATAAACTACTTGATAATGTTCATAAGAAAATGAAACAATAACTTATGATTATTCACAATGAGGAAGTTCAATTTTAAAGAAATAAATGTTGATTTTACGTACATATTTATGTTTGTTTTCGTTCATATTCTGTATCATTTTTTTAAAGTTAAGTGACATAATAAAAAAAAGATATTAATCTATTCATTGATATCAGTATATATATATATATGGGATGAAAGAGAGTGTAATATTAATTCAGACGTTTACAGAAATCGGTTTCATGTTATAGATCAAGTAAAAAATTATTGATGAAAATTAATACATTGTAATAGTTTAAAAGATAAATAACTATATTCATGTTGTTCTATTAATATTTTTGTCTCTATTCGAAAAACTTTCAATTAAGAATTGAAGTTTTTTTAATTAATTATTGATGGAAAAGAAGTTTCAATTAGAATAGTTTTTGTAAGACAAACTATTATTTAGTGAAAGTATTTGTTCGCACTGCTAAATGAATACATAGTCGTTTTCTAATTGAGGTTTTTGTAAATTTTACTTAAATTCAAGATTAATTCCCATTCGAAAGTTAACTATTCTAGATTAAATATTAGACAAGATCGGTCGAATTTCTTAATGACCAATAAATCGATATCGAATATATATGGAATTTATGCCAATATTAGAACGAAATGGAACCTTTAGTATGATCAATGGCGCAACTTATGGGGACACATGGAGCGTGATGCCTCTTGTCCGACCTCCAAAATTTGTCCACACAATGCTTCTTGTTTTAGAAACATATCCATACAGTCTCTCTCCCTTACATCCAATGCTGCATTACACGTCTGATTATGATTGTAATTATGATCAACAACTATTGTTGTAATGTCAACAGTGAACGATAAGAAAATAGTGTCAGAGGCAAGTTCTAACGATCCTAGCGGTAAATAATTATCGTGCTGATGATAATCATTACGCTTGATCCTTATGAGAGAAACCAACAGAATGTCTCAATGATTGTTTGTTAGAATATCTATGTGAATTTGTGCTTGTTTTAAATTTAGTTTGAGATACGAAATTAATAACAACTTTAAACATTTATAACTATTTTATATTTCAGAAGTAACCAGCATTCATCAATTGAGGTGAAATTCGAAAGGATTCAAGGCATTCTACAATATAAGTGGATCAAAAAACAGTGACAGAACTTCACTGAAAGAGTTACAATGATCGACACATACGAGCCCAAAACAGAAGCTTCAAGCAATGAATTCCATTTGATTTTCTTGAATTCTCTGGGGTTCGAAACATTCAAGAAATCCAAAGAAATTCAAGACATTCTACAATGATATGGTTGGAAACATTGCCACGTACAACTCCATGGACGAAGTTACGAAGACTAGTACATATAATGCCAATGTGGTTGCTCGAAAAATTGAATTTCACTTGATTTCCTTGAAGTCCTAATTTCTGAACGGTGAGTATATCTATATATGAACTCTTGATAGAGTGTGATCGATTAGGAACTTTTTAATTTCAAACAATTAGATTTGAGCAGAAATTTTTTCACTATTGTAAAAACAAAACTTATTATTGTCCAGGCCTATTAGGAGATTGGCAAGGACTCTCTTTTAAATGGCTGGGACAAAACTATGTTGAGTCCGTACTGACATAGAGAAAAATTCGAAATAAAATGATATTTGCCTAATGCAATCACTTAAACTTTATTTTATGTGAATTAAGTATTAAGTAAAATCACATTGAAACATAATGATTCACCCCTAGTATCATCATCAGGTAAAAATACTCAACAATAATAAAACACAAATAATATATTCCCATAATTTGATAATGACGTTTTCTTCTGATAATCTTCATTAGATTCACTTCAGTTGAGTGCGATTATTTCAATGTGGCTATGAACAAAGTCTATATGGATTCTTCTCCTCAAAATTTGCCTTTGATTTGAAATTCATAATAAGCAGACCAATTGTATTTCGAAAAATTTTATACAAACGAAAAAACTAGATAACATAGAATGGATAGATGTGACTCACTTTAAATATTTTTTACTATTATTGATAACAGTTTTATATTTCTTTTATTGTATTGTTTTTAATCTTCTGACTTTGTCAATCCCGATTTGAATGTTTTCACGTTCATTCAGAAAACATCAAAGCCACCCATTTTCTCTATAAAAACTTCATAAAGAAGCTAAAAAAAAACAACTTTTTCATCTAGAAAAAACGTTCTATTTTTAACATACATTATGCATTAATGTCATATTTATTTGAAAAGTACGTCTGTATATGATAAAAAAAAGATTGTTGCAGGCTCTCCAGATGCAAAATTTGTCTTTTTAATTATCTGCACGCATTTTTTATGAGGAAAATAGTTGGTTCTGATGTTTTCTAAATGAACTTAAAAATGCTCAAACGGAAACCATGATTCGGGCGTTTAAAAGTATTTTTAGAAAACCTAATTTAACTAGAAAGGGAGCATATAAGTAGCATACAATAAGATCATGTTAACAACAAAAAACTGAAGATAGAAGAGAAAGAAAATTATAACTTAAAATAATAGAAGCATTTATATTTAGAATATTCTGTAACCCGTAGAAGTTCTTTTCTTTTACTACAGATATAGTGTGTGCTACTATACGTGTCAAAACACTTATCTTGTAATCAACAGAAAGATCTCATAGTGTAGAACGAATCGTTTTGATATAGATATATATTTGAATATCGTCTTATTTTTATCGCGTTCTGTAAGTATTTAACAATGATTCTTTTAGTAATAGCTATCCATCGTATGATTTAGTCAATATTCTCAAATATTTTTCTCAATAGGCATCATAAAGATCATTCAGTACATTTTTCATGATAAGTGGATGTTAAGAAGAAATTATTACAATCATTGCAGTGCAAGATTTGTTTAAGATACGTATAGTAAAAATAATTAATTCCGAATGTAAGAGACTATTTGCAATAATTAGTTTGTCTAGTCAAAAAATTTCAATTTCCGTGAAAACCTAAATGACTTCTTGTTTTTCTTGTTATTTAGAAGATAAAAATTAGTGAAAAAAATTTCCATAATATTTTTTCGGTAATCATATGAATATCTGTAGATCATAAAATATTGTGCAAATGTTTTGTTATATGAAACAATGATAAATACATTATGTTTCATGCCAAAGTATTTGTATAATATAATGAATCTGTTTAAATAATAATTTATGTGAAAGTACATTACGTATATAAATTTATCCTAGAATATATTTAATATTTACTTATGATAAATTGCTAAAAAGTAATTAGAAGGCTTTCTTTTTATTTAGACAATTTTCAATCTTTTAGTCTGATCTCATTATATCAAAATTATTTAAAAAAAAAAAAATTTATCGCAGTAATAAAACATTTCATAGATAAGAAAATATCGTATGGTTGAATGTATTTATTTTAAATAGATAATATCGAAATCTTATTATAATTTTTTTTTCTGGCTATACTAGATGATTTTGCAATCTATGATGCATGTAGAAATAAATGATAGACAATAGTAGAGAAATAAGCAGCTCTTTTTCTTTTACCATGGTAAGTGCACTGCGTACAAAATATTAAAAATAGGTTATTAGGTACACTTTTAAAATAAACATTCACATATGAAAATGATATATACATATGCAATTTATATTGTCACAGTTTAAATTTATAACTCAGTTTTATGTGTTAGAAATTAAATATATGCTTTATAATGTTTTGTAAACTCTTCAATGTTAGAGTGACCCTCATAAATATGTTGACATACATTTTCAAAGGTATAACAAACAAAAATTGGTCTAATTATTGAATAGGTAAGCTATTTTATGTAAAAAACAAACAGTGTTATTTTTCTGATAGGTTTTTAATCAAATAAAATTTTTTTTTCAATTTATTAATATGCAGTATTTTATGTCTATGCTTACATAAAGGAACGAATCGAACTTAAAGAACAGAAAAAATTTTTTTTGGACGTTTATTATCCTACATTCTAACATAAGGAAAAAAAAGACTTGAGGTGCCCGTAGATAAAAAAAGAATGAAATAGCAAACTGCTCTCATTAAAAGAAAAAGAAAAAGTTACAGACAGAGAAAGTGAAATACTATTTTTAACCTAACAGTCGACTTTATCTTACATTTATATTTGTTGACAACTGAATTGAACAACGTAAGTTAATTTCATGTTTTCGGAATAAATGAAAGAAAAAGAGAAACTAGTTATACTATCGTTTGAAGGACAGTTTTTTTTATAGCAAGAACTTTTTTTTTTCGCAGCAATATTTCGTCAAAAGTACAGTAGTCTTTTCAAAAATTTCTGATAATACATGTAAGTAACTATCGTCAGAATAATTAAAAGTATGTCTTCGAATTTTACTTTTTTTAATTTCATGATGATATGTCGTTTTGTTTTTATATACTATAGACTGATATGAATTGGTCATATATGTACTATTATAATCCTATAGTGATCCTCTATCTATCCTGTATATCTTGGATTTTTTGTCTTTGTGGATATGTGTATATATAATTTCAACTGTAGTGATTTTCAACATTTGATTTTCATTTGCATATTACACTTCGTTTCACATATTTTTTTTTATCGTACATATAGGTGACACTGCGTACTAATATATTGTGAGATAAATTGTTATACTACGCTTTCTTTCTTGTATTATGACATACAGAGCTCACCTGAAGGTATAGTGGCTATGGTCTCTCTATACGAACAGGTCAACTCTATATGTCATAATACAAGAAAGAAAGCGTAGTATAAAAATTTATCCCATAATATATTAGTACACAGTGTCACGTATATGTACGATAAATCAAAAAAGTGAAACAAAGTGTAATATGCAAATGAAAATCAAATGTTGAAAATCACTACAGTTGAAATTATATATACACATATCCACAAAGATAAAATCCAAGATATACAGGATAGATAGAGGATCACTATAGGATTATAATAGTACATATATGACCAATTCATATCAGTCTATAGTATATAAAAATAAAACAACACATCATCATGAAATTAAAAAAAGTAAAATTCGAAGACATACTTTTAATTGTTCGGACTATAGAAGAAAAACTAAAAAATTAAATTATTTCTTGATTTATCTTTATAATGAGATATATTTCGACATTTATTTATCGAGTACTTTATCTTTCTCAAACAACTAATAATGTTTTCATTGTATTGTTCGATATAACCACTAAAAATATTTTTGTTATTTAAGATTCATGGCTTTTGTTTGTATTACCGTTATCTACAAGGTAAATTTATTTTCTATATTAAGAAACTGAAATTTTGAGAAGAGAAGAAAATATTTCTTATAGCTTAAGAATATTTAATCATTCTTAATCAAGAAACAAATATTAAATAAAATAAGCCGATTAATAATATTCAATATAGCATAGTTATTTTCATATACATTGTCTCTCTATTACCCTTTTATTCACAAAATAAAACAAACATTCTTTTTCGCTTGACTGAGCAAATACATTACCGCCACATTAATATACATTGTCTATATATTTCTCAACAGTGAACGACCTGAAACAGTTATATCATGACTTATTATTATGTGAGGTTTTTTTTCATATTGTATGGTTATCTTTCATCCCATTTTATGAATTATTTCTTTTGTTAGCAAACAATCATCGGTTTTTTTCCATCATTTTAAGAAATTATAGAAAAAGGTGGCAACGTAATGATGAAGGGTATCACTGTTGTGTATCATTTATGCCACCATTTTCTTGAATCTGATAGACTTTTTTTTAGCATTCATCTTATTAGAATTTTAAATAGAATTATTTGAATAATACACTAGATTTAGTAGTGAACATTTTTTTTTACTTAGAAATAAAATAAAGTTTAACTATTTATTTTTTCTATTTCGATATGTCAAGAATTATAAACATCTTTTTTTCATAGAGCTTATCGTAAAATCGTAGCGAAATGTCATTCAAACGATCCTTATCTGTATCATCTGTATCACACGACGACAACTCTCATAAAATTCAAAGACGAATAAAAAACTCATCTATATCGAGTGTTTGTCAAGTATGTGGTGACAAAGCTAGTATTATGAATTATGGTGCACTTTCTTGTCAATCATGTAAAACATTCTTTCGTAGAAATGGTTTTCATCCAGAAGTTCGTAGTTTATAACGTTTTTAATTTAAATTATTTTTTTTTATTAATCAATTTCTTCTTGTAGAATGTTCGTCCATGTTTCTTCAATAAATCATGTGAAATAAACATTACCACACGACGAAATTGTACTGCTTGCCGTTTTGCAAAATGTTTATCGACGGGCATGAGTCCAGTTTTAATTCGTAAAGAAATTCAACAAAATAAAAAAGATATATTACCAACAAACGTACATAGTTGTCATAATGTCGTAGACAAAAGTATAATGGTATGTAGAATATTTGATTAAATGAATTAGAAACTGTGTTAAATATTTTTTTTTTCTATTAACTTATCTAAACTATTCGTTGATGATCTATTTCAATAGTTAATTCGATGAAATATAACAAATGTTAACATGTAAGAGACGTCCAAGAACTAAAATATAGGAATTCTTTCTCAATTTCATAATTGCTAAAATAAAATATTCACGATATTTTTTTGCTTACATATTTATATGCATCAAGAATTTATGAATATGTATGTGTGGATACGAAAACTATTGCATATAAAAGCATTACTTTGGTTTTTATGAATCGTGGAACTATAAAGGAACTAATGATCAATTCTCTTTTCCGCAAGGAATTATCATAGGTCCATTGAGAATTGCTCCACAACTTAGAAATTCTTATTTTCAGTTCTTGGACATTGTTGAACGCTATTAAAGTTTAACCTTGAAATATTATAATGTTCATATATTACTTCCGATGAAGTGAAATTCTAATGTGAAATTATTACAACAGAAATCTCAAGTCAAAACATTGAACTTCATAGATATTATATCATCATAATGATTTTATAAAAATATTAAAATCTGAATTTTAATATTTAAGAGATGAAAATCAATATGATTATAAAAATATAAATTCAATTTTGAAAATAATCTATAATATACGTTATAATTATCATTTAATTTTTATTTCGAAAACCTATATAATTAAGATTCATAATTCAATTTGAGTATAAATATTAATGTTAATAATGAATAAGAAAAAAAAAGACTTGTTCTTTTTCTATTTAGCCTACAACACATGCTCTCATATTAGATCAATCACATAATGATCCATCATGTGTTAGTAAAAATGAATGGATATTACTTTCAAATGTTATTCATGCTCATGACACTTCTAGTGCTATACCACAAATACGTCGCACTATTGAAAATTTAAATGCACCATTTTCACTTCATGTATCGTATAGTGTATCTAATGTAGTTGAAGTTATCCTGCGTATGTATACATCTATGGGATCGTTTATTAGTTCTTCACCTGATTTTCGAATATTAACTATAAATGAACAATGTTCTCTTTTCGAACGTAATTTACATGGGATTATTGCTCTTTGTTCAGCTCTCTACTTTCGTACTACTCGTATTATTGATACTCCCAAATGTTTAGAAAAATTTACATTAGTCTATGGATCAGAAATTATACTTCAAGCAAAATGTATCAATGATCAATTAGATTCTGATTTAACTGTTATTAAACTTATGCTAATTATTCTTGCATTTTCGTCAAATTGTTTTATTGTTCTTGAAAAAGAAAAACCACAAATTGACAGTTTATTAAATGGTACATTTCGTTTATTTGGAAGTCAGAATGTATATATTGAACTCTTATGGAAATATCTAATTTATCGATATGGTTATTATGATTCAGTAATTCGATTTAACCGACTTATTAGAGTTGTTCTCAGTTTGATTAAATACTCAGCATCAGTCTACACAACAAATGAATTTTATTATCACTTAGTCAACGAAGTTTTAGCACAAATAAAACAATCATTCGCGACAAATCAAAATATGCAAAAACCATTATGGGGCAAAACATAACTATTTAGCAAAGAATAATTTTCTTTTTTTTTTTGTTTGACATTTTTCTTTATTCGCAAAGATTTTATATTTAACGAAGATGATTAAATTAATCTTTTAGTTATATAAGATTTGCAATAAAAGATTTTTCTGTCTGACAGATCTATTCTATAAAAATAAAGTAGTTTTATATATTTTAGTTTTATTAATTAGAATTTTTATGAAGATACATATATGTCATTATTTAGATCTGCCTAGACAAATGTTGAACACATAAAGAGATTAAATAAATACGTTCTTATTCAAAAAATATATCTCGCGTGACGAATCTTCAGTTGAAAAGGGCTTATTGATAAGACATCCGGATTCATCTCGTGCAAGAGACATATATCTAGACACGTTTCATATTAATAATAATTCTTGTTGCAATTTGAAATCTATTTCTCTTTATACATATCAGAGAAAGTATTATATTCACAATATGCTTCAAAAGAATTTCAAGTAAACAAGTCACTATATAAATACATATATGTATATATATATATTTTTTTAAATTAGAAAATATTGTAAACTTGTTCTGTTTTTTTGATATAGATATACAATTCATATTTACGGTTCAAATATAACTTCCATCATTCGAATTTGTGAATCAATTTCTTTTCAAAAAAAAAAAATTCATATTCATATGAAAAACAAAATGTTGCAGCAAATGGATATTCGTTGATGTACAATGGATAAGTAGAAAATAGGAAGAAATGCTTCTGTGGAATACAAGCAAAATTATTGACATAATTAAGAAATGACTAACTATTTGATTATGATTTTACAGATGTTTAGTATATATTACAAAACATTTTACTGATGAGAGATTACTAATAATGGTTCAAAATAGAAAAAAAATATTCTCTAGAATTATCATTCTTCGAAAGAAATATAGTAGAAAACAAAACGAAGTATATTGCATATGCATGAATGTCACTAGTAGAAATAATATCAATCCGACTCAATCTTTTTTTTTTTTGATAAAATATTCGATTTAATCAAGAGGGTAAAAAAAGTTTTTTTCATATTTAAAATATCTCTCAATCGAACATATCCGCTAAAGTATGTAAGAGTTTTCATGAATTTGATTGATGTTATATTTCAGAGTTGTTTTAAAAAGATAAATGGTCTAGTTGTTTTTTTTTAATATTTTATGAATTCCAGGAAAAATGAAACTAATATACTTAGGATATCCAAAAGTAGTGGCAGTGATATTTTAATTCCTTCTAAAAATCTTGAAGAAACTTTTTCTCTATATGAATTGATAGTAAAAACGACACTCTATTTTTCTGTGCTATTATATCATTCCTCAAGTAATATCATAATAATAAAATTTCGATAACACCTATTTTTCTATCATATGTGATGGTTATACTATTGCCTATTTAAAAAAGGGTGGAGTGGATATATTTTGAATAACTTCTGATAGAAACACGATAAAGAGCTGCAGCTTTGATCATTCGAAAGAGGAGACAAAGTTGCATCGAATCATAAATTATACGATTTTTTTTGACATGATTTTTTTAAAGGTTTTCAATCGATCTCTTTGAGAACCAACTTACCTCGTGAGGTGTGTATAGGAAATTTTCAATTGTTACGAGTATTTTCAAGCCGTCGATGAAAAATCTATAAAACTACATAATTTTTAGATGTTTAGAATCAATCATTCAGGAGTTATTGGTATTCTAGTCGACGTTCTAAGTGATTTTTCTTGCCATTTCTGTGCAAAAAAGTCTTTTTGATATTGACTTTCAAATTGAATTTATCGCTATGATAGTAGTAAACATTTTCTTATATAATACTCTCTTGCACCTCGCCTCTACGAAGGAAGTACACATAAGATTAAGCAAGATGAGAAAAATTTAACATCCATAGAATTTCCTCATAAATTCGTATATTCTTTACTATTTCAACAGATTTTACAATAAAGTTAAACTTAAATTTTATTCCATTAAATAAAATAATTTTGATCAATACATATGAGACTGGGTGTATAATATCCAATCAATGCCAAGAATAAACTTTTTATAAAATGAAATCCACGGTGTAAAAATTCATCCTATAATTCTGTTGAATCGGAACGACATCAAATTGATTGTTATGTTAATTGTGTGAAATTAAGTTTTTGAAAAGTTTCAATGTACTTGGCTTCACAAGTGCCAAAAGAACAACAAAATCATAATGTTAATATTTGTAATCAAAACCTTGTATTCTTTGTCTTTCCAAGTGAATGAAGTATGGCTGGTTATTACTAGAAAACTCCGGATAATGATAGAAACTTGGAAGCCGGAACCGAATTACTAAATTTCTACTTCCAAGCTCTTACCATTTTCTGGAGGGTTCTCGACGAAAGTTCGTGAGTCCCGACTGCAGAATCATTATCCTGGAAATCGATTAAGAACTCTATAGGAAATAAAATAATCTCATCGAAGAAGTCAATCAATACTATTCATGGCCATTAACAAAAGAAATCAAATTTATAATATTAATATCAAATAAATTAATAGAACAAAGTTCTATAAGAGATCGTAGTATTTGTAGTATGATTATGATGTTTATTATAACGCAATTAGCGTTAAATTAAAAGAGGGACTCTAAATTTTGTGAAGTAAAAAGAGACAAGTACATAACTAAAAATTTCATTGCATAGTTCTCATATTTAATAAATCTTTTTGTTACTTTTCGTGGTCATCCATATTTTCGTTTTTCACATAAAGGTATACTTTTTACTGATGCGGGTAATACAATAGATTTCAATCTAATTGTTATATGAATCTTGTATTTATAAATATGTTCTTTTAAAAAATGTAGAGAATCCTATATTCTATTTTTCAATTCTTTCATAATTTCAGATAGAGTTACTTTTCATATCACAAACTAAAGCTATTTTATTTGTTCTACGGCATCTTCTGATATTTATAGTAGTTATTTAGTTAAAGATTTGCTTGATTATGATTATGAGACTTGGACTATTCATTTACAAAATCATTTATAATTGTCAGTGTTGATCGGTCGCATTCTGCAAAGTTTTGAGGGGGATATGTAAAAATATAATTTGAACAAAATAGTGCATATTTAAAATAACAATAGATTTCAAGTTGTTTGTTCTATGAATTGTTCTGCGTACACAATACAAATCTATTAATAGTCTCGTACAAAAGGAAGCAGAATAAAAGATGCAGACCGAAGACTTAACAATAAAAGAAGTAGACAAGCAAAATAGACATCTACAGGAATGTTCCGAACTAATCGAGATCAAGAGACAGAGTCATATTTTTTCTTAACACAACTAATGTTAACTTTTGTTTGTGTTTGTTTATGGTTCAATAAATTTTTTCAACCTCATCAACACTTTACAGAATGAAAAGAATGTCAGCAACTGTTAGTCAAAGTCGTGCTATTCAAAAGGAAGAATGAATTGAAATTTCCGAAAATTAAGTTCTAAGTTTATAAAATTGATACTATTTCACGAAAAAGGATTTTTCGGTAAGTGAACTAAAATATTTTTTTTCTCCTCTGTCCTTTCTTTTCAGAAATGAAAACATTATTGAATATAAGTTATGATATTTCTTAAAAATTTTTGTCGTCGAAGTCGATCACTATCCTAATGGCTGTTCAATAATGAAGCTCTTGAGATGTAAAAAGCATAACAACATGTTTTCATAACTTAATATTCGAGGTCTTTTTAGATCGACTAAGATTATATAGTCGATACTTTGGAGTCAAGTGAAATTCTTTTCATTTTACTATGAAGCTTGTTCGAGAAAAGCATCATTCTGTATTTTTCGGAAAAAAGTTACCAAATTTCCATTGAATGTTTGTTTTAGAACGTTTTCACTAGCAACAAGTAACAAAACTTCCATTTATTGAAGAAATGTTACACTTCCGACTTTCTTCCTTCGATCGGATCATAACCGATCATTGTAAAAATAAACTTTAATAACACACCATTATCTAAACGTATGTTTATCTTTGATCATTTTATTTGTTGATTCTAATGAATCGTTCGTACTTCGTGTTAAGGCATTCTATCCTTCCTATCATGAACCATGAGTTGTTAATGATTGTTTTTCCAATCATTCTAAAAATTCTTTTTATCTTATGCTCTGCATTCGTGGAATCATTCTATTGGAATATAGGAGTACCAAGGCACCATTTATTTAGAATTTTCTATAACTATATAGAAAATATATAGGACACTAATTTCCGCCTGGGGACGTCTTTAGAGTTTTAATGAACTCTGCAACAACACTGTAAATAATAGATTGTTTTTTTATCTACACATTATTGAATGAACTAAATTTAAAAAAATACTTTCAAATTATGGAAACAATGATCCAACAAAGTTGTTTTCTGGAAGAAACGAAAAAAAAAAAACTAATTTTTGTTCCGTTTATTTTTCAAATATTTCATACAAATATATTCACATTATGATGAAAGAAGCTAAATTAAATAATGATTGAAAAAAAAAACGTAGTTTTTGTAGTTTATAATATAAGAGTGTGTCTGTCATAGTCTTTGAAGAGAGAATAGTCATAGTCATATTTCTTTCAAAATCTATGACGAAAGAGAGGCATTATTAACTCGTCCTCACGTTCCATGATAAAATGGTGAACAGTGTTACTCACGTGTCGTCTGACATTTGTGATATGTCCTTGCTAAAGTTTCTGTCATATTTGTGAGAAGAAGAACACAGGAAGCAGTTAGGTAGCAAAATCGTTTTTTGCTTGAACTCTAATTTTCTCAGTAGTATGATCTGCAACCAAATCGAATAGTATTTCACATATGATCGGGCTACACAATGTATATTTACTTTCTAGTAAAAATGTTCTATTAAAATAGATTGAAAACTATATTCCCATTTGACTTTTTACTGTCTATTCATTGAGGAAGGATCGAGTTCGAATTTCTACTCTTATACTTCAACACGCATTTTAGATTGAGTTTCACAAGAAAAAGAATAAATAACTTGTATACAT